CAGGGGATGCCTGGCTGGGGTGCTAGGGGCCCGGGCGGACCCCAGCAGGCCCTGGAGCGGGTCCTCCAGCAGGCACAGACGCTCCTGGAATCTCCTGTACCCGCGGCGAGGGCCCTGCGGCCGCTGACAGCCTGCATAGCTGGACTCAGGCAAGGGGTGGGGTCAGCAGGGGAGGGGCCTCCAGCGAGGTTCCCAGGGTCAGGGGTCCTGCCGGCCACAGGCTGGCCTGTGGGGGCCCTGGGTCTGGGAGTCAGGGGGTTCCCGAGTGAGGGTCGTGGGGAGAACCTCGTCAGCCATGCTGATGCTCTGTCCTCCCGCAGGACCGAAGTGGCTGCACTGGCCCGGACGCTGTGGGCCCCGGGACAGGCTGTGGCCGAAAGTGAGCCCTGGCTTAGGAGGCAGCGTGAGCGGCTGGAAGAACTGTCCTGGGAGCTAGACTGTGTCAAGGGCTTGGCCTGGCCCAAAGGGACCCCAGGAGTCCAAGGTGAGGCCGGCTGGGCAGGTGTGTGGACAGCAGGTGAGGGCAGGGGCAGGGCTGGGTCAGGAGGAGGGACCAGGTGCCCTTGCCTGTGCAGTGCTAAGCCACCCTCTATCCCTCCCTCCCATCTTCTGCAGAGGCTGAGGCCCAGGCCTCCTCAGCTGCCCTGCTTTCCCAGGAAGCCATGCGTGGGGCCCAGGTCGTGGCCACACTTGGAGGACCGGACAGCATCCTGGGACAGGCCCGCGAGGCCCGGCGGTGGACAGAGCGGCTTCTACGGGGCACAGGCCAGCCTAGAGGCCCAGCTGAGTGGGAGCTGAAACTGAGGGGGCTGGTCGACCAGGTCCAGATGCTGCACCCACCGCTCCTGAGACTCCTGGTCACAGCTGGAGTGGTGGGTGGAGGTGTGGGTCCCCGGGGGGCTCCCCAAGGCCAGGCCCCCTCCTAGGGGTGCCCTGGGAGAGGCCGGGGGGAGTCTGGGATGAGCATCGTGGATCTCCTGTCTGTTGGCAGGAGGCCCGGGCCCCTGAGGTGCATTCTCTCTTGCTGTTGTAAGCTAGCAAATTTTAATTAGTTGTACTAATGGTGTGTTTCTGGTGGTCCTTGAACAGTGGGCAGCATTTTGAACCTCTACGAATTGTTAAGATTATGTGCTAGATGATAGGATACAAATTTACATAAGGAATGCTCTCTATCCTTGAGCATTTGGCTGTCTACTTGGCACAACTATCCTCAAGTTTAAATTCTGGGTGTTATACCATGATGAACTGCTTACACAGTATAGAAATACCTGTTTTTATAGGAGTTATTTAGCTCAGAGCCAGAGGATTTTTAGCAAGAGATCTGATCCTTATAAAGAAAATGCCCAACAAATAAAATAAAATCAAGATTTTACTTAAAAATATTTTTAAAAGTATTGTCATTGTCTATCTCTTTCTTATGGTAGCATAATTTTACACAACAATGCATGAAGGGTGTTTTCCAATTTTAGCGGATCCTCTCCCAAAAGTATACTAGATTCACATAATACAGTTTAATATCCTGAAAGTAGTAAACAGCCAGAAGACAATTTCATTTTTCAAGACTGAAAGTTCCCATCATTTTACGCCAAGAATGGCATCTCAAGACACAGTAGAGAACCTAATGTTTTAAACACCATACTTATTTGCAGAATATCTGTTTTCTTGACATAGTCCCTCTAAACTTAGTACTTGGGGATATTGGATAATGCTGAAGGAAACCTGGCAACATGATGTTAGAAGATAAACATGCACACACACTAAATTTTATTCTCCATCACAAAATACTTTTTCATTTACATATTTTTAAAATATATTTTATTGATTTTTTACAGAGAGGAAGGGAGAGGGATAGAGAGTTAGAAACATCGATGAGAGAGAAACATTGATCAGCTGCCTCCTGCACACCCCCTACTGGGGATGTGCCCGCAACCCAGGTACATGCCCTTGACCGGAATCGAACCTGGGACCCTTCAGTCCGCAGGCCGATGCTCTATCCACTGAGCCAAACTGGCTAGGGCTATTATTTTTATTTTTTATTGATTTCAGAGAGAAAGGGAGAGGGGGAGAGAGATGGCAACATCAATGATGAGAGAGAATCATTGATCGGCTGCCCCCTGGACGCCCCACAATGGGGATGGAGCCCCCAACCCAGGCATATGCCCTGACCTCCTGGTTCATAGGTCGACGGTCAACCACTGAGCCACCCACTGGGCTACCTGCCGTTTAACAACTGATTCACAAAATTCCTGCAAATGTCACACTTGCCTGTTGTTCGCCTCTCGCATACCGTGCAGTCATGTCAGCGTCCGTGAGACGTGAGGGTCAGGGTCCATGGGGTCAGGGATCAGAGTTCACAGCCAACATCCCCACACCGACCCCCGCAGATGAAGGTGCGGATGCTGCGAGTGTGGAGCTGGCGGCATGGCGAGGGCTGGCAGTGCCCCGCCCCCAGGGTGAGGCCGTGGGCATCGCCCTCCTGCTGGATCAGGTCCAGAGGGCCCTCCCGGCACCGGGCGCTGGAGGCCAGGAGCTGCCCATGGCTGACCGTGTCCTCCACCAGGCACAGCAGACCAGGTGAAGGGCCAGGAGCTGGAGGTGGAGGCCAGAGGGTGGGGGGAAGGGCTGCTTGTGTGTCTGTTCACCCGCACCTTTCAGGGGAGGTACAGCCAGGGCCCAGGGCCGAGCGCAGGACGTTCAGGGGGTGCTGGCTGAGGCGGGAGCTCACACCAGGGCTGCAGAGCAAGGGCTGCAGGCGGCCAGACAGACACTTGGAGGCCTGGAGGCCAGTGTACAGGAGGTGATACCCCACTGTACCCCTCGGCACCTCTTGTTCAGGGGCCACTGGTCCCATTGTCCCCCCGAGGTCCTTGACCCACATGATACCATGAAGCTACCAAACACCCTGACCATGTGAACACTCCACTGAGTTGCTGCCCTGCTGTGACCTCCCTGTGATCCCCTGACCTTTGCCCCAGGTGGCGGGGCGCCTGGCCCAGATGACACTGGCAGCGGATGTGACCCCGGACCCGGGGCTCCTATCCAGGGCAGCTGTGGCTCTCAGGACCCGTGTGGCCCTGTGCCAGGGGCAGGCCCAGGCGGCAGAAGAGCGGGCAGCGCATGCCCTGGGCTTGGCTGGGGGCCTGGGCAAGGTGAGACGGGAGCAGGACATTGGGGTGTCAGGGACCCCCGGCACAGTGTGAATGGGCTTTGGGCTGGGACTGGGCTTTGCTGGGCTGAGGTAGGGTCTCAGCTCTGAAACTCCCGGGCCCCGGGGACTGGGCGGCCGTGCGTTGGGGTCCAGGTGGGGTGGGGTTCAGGTCCGGCCCTGCTCCAGGAGCTGCAGGTGGCCCGGGCAGGTGTGGTGGAGTTGCAGGAGGGCATGTGGGGGTGGGGGAGCACAGCCTGGCCATCGAGTTACAGGAGACACATTTCACCTCCGACCCGCCCATACCAGCTGCAGCACATCCAGGCCACAGCAAGCTCCACGGGAATCCAGGCCCGGGAGACGTGGCGTTGTGCAAGGGGTGCCTGGGGTGTGGCCACCCTGGCCCCTGTGCAAGCAACTGTGCAGAGGATCCAGCGTTTCCTCTTGGGTACATGTCTGTTTGTGCGTCTGTTCACAGCCGAGGGCGAGGCAGGGGTCATTCAGGTCACTGCTGTGACACTCCTTCCAGAATGAGGACTACCCAGAGGGCTGAGGCTGACGGGTCGGGTGGAGTAGGGTGTGAGGGGGGCAGGGTGTGAGGGGGCCA